GGAGGCAGCTCACACTGCCTGATAAAATACAGATAGCTGGAGAGGAGACACCCAGGCGCGCGGGGGCGCGCCGCTTCTCACACTGAACGTTTCAATGGTCTCCGGCATACGTGAGGGGGCCCGTCTCTGCCTCCTGGAGGCCCTGGCCTCCTTCCCCTTCTCCACCTGAGCACTGTCTGGGCGCCTACTGCACACGCTGAGCTGGGCCCCCCGTGCAGTGCGGGGGGAGGCTGGTGGGGGGCTGAGGACCCTGTGTGTCCTGCTGTTACTGACCATTCTCGGTAAAGTGGACACGGGGAGGGTCCACTGGAAGGTCCTTCAAGAAGGCAAAGAAGCTTCGGAGGAGGAAAGGGCTGGGAGCAGACAAGCAGGGAGGGCAGATGCTGGTTCGCCCCACGAAGGGCAAGCGAACATGGCGTGTGTCCCTTCTGGGGCGGGCCTGCGGCTCCGCAGGGGTCCATGCGTGCACACGTGCGTGTGTGTGCGCATGTGTGCGCGTGCGTGTGTGTGCGTGTGTGCTCTCTCGCCGGGAAGCCTGTGGGTGTAATTTGTGGGTTTTATTGGAAGATTAAATTGATTTCCCAGCCTTCCCTGGGGGAGAGGTGGAGATGCCGCTGTCACTGCTCCCTCGTTGCTGCCGCGTTAGGACGAGATCAATCTCGGCCATAAAAACAAAATGAAGCCAGAGCTACCCGGCTTCTGACCGTGAGGGCGCTCCTTCCTTGGAGCCATGGCCGCCAGTGTCCCGGGGCCGGCCGCCGTCCTCCATGGGGCTTGGGGCAGGAAGGAGCCAGGGGCTGGGGGCTGCCTTCTGACAGCTGGGGGACGTGAGGCAGGGGGCTGGGCGAGGTCCATCTGAGGCCTCTGCTTCCTGGCGGCTGCTGGACCAGGCGTCCTGGGTGGCGGTTCCGCCGCAGTGCAGCGGCCGAGGCGAGGAGGGCCCCAGGCGCCTCTCCCCTGGGGGTCGTGTGGGGTCGAGGGTGCTGTGCTCTCTCCTCGCCTCGGGAGCTGGCCCTGTCCGTCCCGTCTGCTGGGTGCGTCTGCACGCCAGGCTCTGCGGCTGGAGGTGTCGGTGCTGCCTGGTGAGGCTGAGCCCTAGAAGGCTGGACGGCCAGGCCAGACGCTGGCTCCGTGTCACCTCCTGGAGCTGGCTTGGTGGCCTGGGCCCTGCGCCCACCCCCACTCGAGCGCCTGGTCCCAGCTGGTGCAGGGGCAGAGCCGGAAAGTCCCGGACGTCCCCTCCCTGGAGCACACAGTGTGCAGGCGAATACACGTGGTCCTGTCAGCAGCTACGAGGCAGCGTGAGGAGCCTTGAAGGAATCACCCAGGGTCACGGGACATGACCTGGAGAGGGGAGCACAGAGGAGGGCCCGGCACGTGGTGCCCCTCTGGGTGCAGGGTGGGCGTGAGGACGGAAGGGCCTGGGGACCCCCTCCGCGACAGAGCCCTCCTGCCCCTTCCTGACCTGGGTAGCTGGCCCCCAGCTGTCCTGGCCTGGGGGTGCAGGGGGTCCCAGTGCAGGGCAGGCCTCCCGGGTGGGCCTGTCGTTCAGGGTGGGGCAGGTACGAGAGCCTGGAGGCCAGGGGTGCTGCTTGCTCCCACCTGAGCCCCACAGGGCTGGGCTAGGGCGGCGGACTGGGCACCTGCAGCAGGTGTCCAGGCTCGAGCAGGGAGGCCCCTGACCGAGGGCGTCGACCACAGTTGGGGTCTGGGGCCTTGTGAGGAATGGCAGCCCCCCACCCCGGGGAGGGGTGCGTGGGTCCCAGGCAGTGGGGGGATCACACTAGGTTACCTGCCTTTGTGGGGGTGGGGTGAACCTGGCCCAGGTGTGAAGGGCGCCCCAGGGCCCCATCTGTGGCCCCCGTTATGGGGCCAGGTGGGGCTCTAGGCCCTGCTCCCTCCAGGGGTCACCCAAGTCCGCTCTCAGGCAGCGCCTTGGGGGGCTGTTTCTCAGCGCGTTGGGACCTGGGCCCCGAGTGTGACTCTGCGGGAGTGGGAGTCCCAGCTGGTGTTGCTGGCCTGGCACCTTTGGGGGGCTGCTGGGGGTGCGAGGCAGGGGTCCCACACCTCCTGGTTTGGGGGGCTGAGCCATGTGGGCTTGGGGCCCGTAGGGGGTTCACCTCCGGCTTGGCAATTACCGGGGGCGTGGCCTTTGCACCCCGTGTGCTCGGCTGCACCATGCGGGTGACACAGCCACCTCTGGGAGGGGTGCTCCCCGCCAGCGTCCTGCAGCCCTGGGGCATCCCTGTCTTGCACAGCAGCTATGGTTCTGCACCCACCTGACTCCTGGAGCATCAGAGGAGGAGTGGGGGTCCCCTGGGCAGCGGCCTCGCTAGCAGAGCCCTGCCTGAGGCAGATTAGCCGGACCTCATCTGCCTGGTCAGTGGAGGATTATGGCCTGGGGCAGCCGTGGAGACTCAGGGAGTCTGGGATGCAGGGGCCGGGCCCCCTCCCAGAACCCCTGCCCAGGAAGATGGGGGCACCCAAGCCCCCCCGGGGTGGCGGCAGGAGACCCTTGATCAGCCAGTGGCTGAGAGCCCAAGGGCGTGGCCTGGGGGGAGAGCTTGGCGTGGGGGAGCTTTGGTGGCGGGGAGGCGAGGGCACTTCCAGACTGGAGCCAGCTCTGGGGAGGGGAGAGAAGGAGGGACCAGGTGTGAGCTGAGTTCGAGGAGACGCAGGCTTTGGGGTGGGAGCGTGTGGTCCAGGCTGGCCACCCCCTTTGGAGGGGGTGAGGGCAGTGACCACAGGAAGGGTCAGCAGGAAGGAGGGGGGGGTATAAAACGG